TCTGACGCTGGTATTTCTTGGGTTATTTTAGTTGTGGGTGTGTTTGCTAACTGTCAGCAATTTGGCCTCACTCAAAATTTGTTTTGAGATTACGCTCAATGTTGAACTTGCATTGGATGAAGCAAACCAGATTCTAAAATTAACACGTTAGAGGAAGTTCTTTAACCCTCGGGAGGTGGTGATGCTGTTACAGAACGTGTTGCAGCACTTTGATGTGACAGCGATGAAGTTGGGCCCTCTCCTTTTTTGTGTCTGGTTTTAGTTCAGTGGCGTGTAAACCTGGGCTCGGGAGGTCCGAGGGTCTAGCCGTCTGCCTCCACCCCTGTGGCTGTGTGGTGCGCTTTATCTGCCTACGGTGGTCCACGCAGCACAAACTAGAGCCTTGTCAGAGACCCTGGTTCTCTCTGCTGGGTGCATGCGGAGCACCTCGGCCAGCATCCAGTGCCCACGCTGCGCACCGCCCCACGTCAGTCCCCCGGCCAGTGGAGGCGAGCAAGACCTTGGCTGGAGTGGCTCTGTTAGGGCAAGATGCCCAGGAGACTGTGCGGGGCTGGGTCCGGGCTCCAGGAGAGGAGAGGAGAGGAGAGGAGACTCCCGATGGTGGGGCGGGCCAGGCTGAGGGAGCCCCAGGGTGCAGCATGTACAGTGAAATGGATAAATCACAAGAATACATTTTCTGAGTTTTGACAAATGGCTGAAGTGGGTATCAGTGGAGGGGCTGCAGCTGTGGCCTTGGGGAGGGTGGCGGGCACTGCAGAGGCGCTCAGCCCGCCTGCCTGCCGTGGTGCGGGGTAGACTCTGGGTTTGAGTGCTGGAAGTGTCTCTCATCGGGCTTGGGCAAGCTGCTCATCCTCTTATGCCTCAGTTTCCACATTTGTATGGTTGGACTGGTCTCGGTGGTGTAGGAACAGGCCACGTGCCCGTTCGTGAGGCTCCAGGCTGGTGCGTGCAGGCCGCTGTGAAATGAGCTGGGTTTCTGAGTGGCAGGGATACAGAACCGTGTCCCTTGGGGGGCTCCAAGCTGGGCTAGTGGAGGGGAGGGGAAGGAGAGTGTGGGGGAGGGTGGAGATGAAGCCTGTGGGCCAGTGGGTGATGGAGGGAAGTGTGGGGTGGGTGGCAAGTGGGGCTTCTGGTGTCTGGGGCTGCAGCCGTCGATGGCCGCCATGTCCCTGAGTGAGGAGCACCTGTGGAAAGTGAGGGCGTGAGCTCCATTTTCCTCCTTTTGAGCCCCCTGCCTTGCCACTGTGGTGACAGCAGCTGCACCTGTGGCGATGTGGAATTGTGCAGGGCAGGGAGGGGGCGGAGAGGGGGCCCCAGCCAAGGAGTAGGCTCCAGGCATCCCGATGGCCTGTGTGAGGATGAACTGGGTGGATGCTTGCTGTGGACCACGGACACTAGAAGGGTGAGCTTCATTCTCCAGAGAGCTCCGACTGTGTCCAGAGGTGCCTCTGGGCCTGGCTCCAGCCTTGCTCCGCAGCACTGGGGCCTGTGTCCCCATCCCACCCTGTCCCCGTGCTGTAGGTGTCCTGTGTCCCCAGTTGTCCTGTCCTGTCCCCGTGCTGTAGGTGGCCTGCGTCCCCACCCGTCCTCCCCTGTCCCCGTGCTGTAGGTGGCCTGTGTCCCCACCCGTCCTCCCTTGTCCCCGTGCTGTAGGTGTCCTGTGTCCCCAGCTGTCCTGTCCTGTTCCCATGCTGTAGGTGGGGGCCTTGGTGAGGCTGGGAGGTGGCCCTCCGGTGCTGCCCAGGGCTGGCCTGCTGTGGAGATTGACGGGGTGAAGGAGAGGAAGAGCCAGGAAGATTGAGCAGGTGCTTATTTCACAGGGTCCTGTTTTCCTCTGACCCCTGCTTTGCCGTCCACCTGTCTCTTTGCGGTGCCTGGTTCTTGATGCCCCCCTTTAGCAAACCTGAAGCTCAGCCACCATGCCTGGCCTGTTTTTTCAAAATATATTTATAGAGATGGGATCTTGCCATCTTGCCCAGGCTGGTCCACTCCTGATACTGGAGTGGAGTCTGTACCCCTCTGGGTCTCACCTTCCTCACACTGCTGGCAGGGGCTTTGCTGGCAGCTCCCAGGGCTGAGTTTTCATTGAATAATCTGCCCAGAAGATTCCAGGAGCTGTATCGGGGGGCTGGAGAGAAGAATTTTTTGGCAAGTTGCAGTGGGTTCCGTGAAGAGGGAAAAGAAAGTCCGCTGGGCCCCGACGTGTCCTGGGTCTGTGGCCCCTCCCGAGGCCCACGTCGAATTGTCATCCCCTGTGGCCCGTTTGTTTTCTGAGTTTGTTTTTGTTATGGAGTTGCAGGAGGCCTTTATGTATTCCGGATGCCAGTCCTTTGTCAGATACATGTTTTGTGAATGCTTTCCCCTAGTCTGTGGCTTGCCTGTTCAATTTCCTAATGGCAGTTTCTATGATCAGCAGTTTTTAGTTATGATTCTTTTATGACTCTTGCTTTCTGAGGCCTGAGAGATCTGTGTTTACTGCCAGGTCATGAAGACATTGTTCCCTTTTGTCTTCCTTGAAGCTATATGGTTTTACTGGTTGTATTTAGGTTTTTGACTTATCACGAGTTAATTTTTATGTATGATGTAAGACAGTGGTTGAAGTTTATTATTTTTCATATGGAATCCAGCTGTTTCACCACTGTTTGTTGATAACTTTTTTTCTTTTTTGAAGAGACAGGGTCTTGCCCTGCCACTCGGGCTGAAGTGCAGTGGTGACATGGCTCACTGCACCCTTGACCTCCCGGGCTCCTCCCACCCTAGGCTCCTAGGACTACAGGCATGCACCACCATACCCAGCTAATTTTAAAAATACTTTTTGCGGACATGGGGCCTTGCCGTCTTGCCCAGGCGGGTCTCAAACTCTTGGGCTCAAGCAGTCCTCCCACCTTGAACTCCCAAAGTGCTGGGTTTATAGGCATGAAAATTTGTTTTTCCTATTGGATTGCCTTGGGATTTTTGTTGAAAATCAGAGTATAAGTGTCTTATTTCTGGATTGGCTGTTCTGCTCCATTGGTCTGTTGAAGTTTATTCCAGTGCCACCTGCCTTGGTTGTGGTGGCATTAGAGGAAGTCTTAGAGTCAGCATACATCCCTATCTTTGTTCGTATAGAGGCTGCTTTGGATATTCCAGGCCTGTTGCATTTCCACAGCGATGTTAGACATCTTGTCAACTTCTGCAAAATGCCTCCTGAGCTTAGGGCTGGTATTGAGTGGAATCTGCAGATCAGTATGACGGGAGAGGAGTGATGTCTTCACTATACTGAGACTTACAGTTTACGGAGACGGTTATCACTTCGTTTATTGAGCTTGTCCTTACGTTCCCTCAGCAGCATTTTGTGATTTTCAGTGTCGTTATTTTGTGTCTTTTCTAAATAAATTCTTATGTAGTTTGTACTTTTTAATGTTATTATAAATGGTATTTTTAAACATGTAGTTTTCCAGCTGTTTACTCGTAGTGAATGGAGATGCAGATGTGGGCTTATGTGTTAATCTTGCATCCTGTGGCCCCTCTTAACTTGCTTCTGTGGAGTTGTGGGTGACGGCTGTCCACAGTCGGAATTTGCAGGCAGAGCCTCATGTGCGCCTTTTTCTCCAGGCTTGAGGCCATTTCTTTCTTTCTCTGCCTTGCTAGGCTGGTCAGGACCTTGGACGTCGCGTGAGTCAGCCTGGGGAGCTGGGCCTTTTTGCTGTGCTCTTCCTTTAGAGGAAAGTATTGAGTGGTTCACTGGTAAGGACGTGAGTACCTGGAGTATTTGTTTTTGTTGTTCCTTTAAAAAAAAAATGTCCTTTATCAAAGGAAGGACGCTCCTTCTATTTTGTACTTTGCTGAGAATTTTTGCTGTAGAAGAATGTTGAATGTGGTCAGATGCTCTTTCTACATGAGCTGAAATGACTCCATAGATTCTCTCCTTTATTTTGCTAACTTGGTAAATTACATTGATGTTTACTTAAACCAAACTATCATTTCTTGGCTAACCCCTACTTGGTCATGTTATTTTCCTTTAAATTTTGGGCTGGGTGTAGTAGTTCATGGCTTTAATCCCAGCACTTTGGGAGGCCAAGGTGGGTGGGTGGATAGCTTGAGCCCAGGAGTTTCAGACCAGCCTGGGCAACATGGTAAAACCCCATTTCTGCAAAAAAATTACACAAATCAGCTGGGTGCAGTGGTGTGTGCCTGTAGTCTCAGCCACTGTGGAGGCTGAGGGGAGGATTGCTTGGGCACAGGAGGGTGGAGGCTGTGGTGAGCTGTGACTGCTCCATTGCCCTCCAGCCTGGGTGATAGAGCAAGACCGTGTCTCCAAAAAAAAAAAAAAAATTGAAAAACAGTATTTCTGTCTTTGCTTTGTGTACATGTCGGGGAGAGCTGTTGATCTGTGATGTGGTTTCTTTGCCTTGCCTCTGTGATGCCTTTGCCGGGTTTTGGTGTTGGAGTTGTGCTGGCTTCAGAGATTAACCACTAACCACATGGAAGACAAGTGTCATCCCTCCTCTGTGTTTGGAAAGAGCCGTCTGTCATTGATGCTGTTTCTTCCTTAGGTGTTTAATGGAATTTACCAATGAAACCATCTGTGCCCTTTTTTTTTTTTTGTGGGAAGGTTTTTGATATGAATCAAATTTCTTTAATAGAAGTTTTCTGTGTTATTATGTACCAAGTTTTATTTTTTGAGGAATAACTATATTTTAAAAATTATTTGCTGAGGAAAACATAAACTGAAAAATTAAAGGAATTATCTGTCTGCTTCCTGTAAATTATCAAATTTGTTGATAGAATGTTCACATATTCTCATATTATTCTTTTAATGTCTGTAGTGATAACCCCTTTGATTCCTGATAGCAGTAATTTGTGTCTTTTATTCTGGATCATTCTACCTACTGGTTTATTAGTTTTGCCAATCTATTTAAGAACTAAAAAGAAATGTTAATTTTTAAAATTGTCTGTTTTTTGTGGTTATTTAATTTTGAGACAAGGCTTCCCTGTGTGGCCCAGGCGAGGGTGCGGTGGCCTGCTCACAGTTCCCTGCCTTCACCTCCAAGTCTCAAGGGGTCAGCCTGCCTCAGCCTCCCAAGTAGATGGGACTGCAGGCACATGCCTGGCTAAGCGTGTGATTTTTTTGTAGAGATGGGGATTTCACTGTGTTGTCCAGGTTGGTCTTTCTTGGCCTCAAGCCTCCCACAGTGCTGGGATTTTTCTGTTTTCTTGGCGATAGAGAAACTCGTTTGATCAGACCTGCAGAGGCCTCTAGAAAGTTGCAGTTTTGGCTGGGTATGGTGGTTCATGCCTGTAATCCCAGCACTTTGGGAGACTGAGGTGGGTGGATCACGAGGTCAGGAGTTCAAGAGCAGCCTGACCACGATCGTGAAACCCTGTCTCTATTAAAAATACAAAAAAAATTGGCCAGGCATGGTGGCGGGCACCTGTAATTCCAGCTACTCGGGAGGCTGAGGCAGAGAATTGCTTGTATTTGGAAGGCAGAAGTTGCAGTGAGCCGAGATTGAGCCACTGCACTCCAGCTTGGATGACAGAGCAAGACTCAATCTCAAAAAACTAAAAAAAAAGAATAAAAATCACGTTTTAAACAAGGACTGCAGATGTTTTGATGAAAAGTGTGCTTTGGGGAAGTAGTTTTAACAGTCATTGTGTGTTTGACTACATATACAATAAAATGAAATTAGAAGTCTGTAAGTGAACAAAAAATTTCTTTATACAAAGTATTAGCAGGTACCTAAATGTAATATGTTCTTAAAAGTTGAAATAGAATGAAATCGTTTATACACAAGTACAGTAGTGCTCCCTCACCTATGGCTTCCTGCATCTTATGTCACTGCGGTCAGAAAATAGGTGAGTGGCCGGGCGCAGTGTCTCACACCTGTAATCCCAGCAGTTTGGGAGGCCAAGGCCGGTGGATCACGAGGTCAGGAGTTCAAGACCAGTCTGGCCCACATGGTGAAACCCTGTCTCTACTAAAAATACAAAAATCAGCTGGGCATGGTGGTGTGTGCCTGTAATCCCAGCTACTAGGGAGACTGAGGCAGGAGAATTGCTTGAACCCGGAAGGTGGAGGTTGCAGTGGAGATAGAGAATTGCTTGAACCCGGAAGGTGGAGGTTGAGCTGAGATAGAGCCACTCTACTCCAGCCTGGGCAACAGAGGAAAATTCTGCCTCAAAAGAAAAAAAAAGAAAGAGAATAGGTGAGTGTGGTGCAGTGAGGTATGCAGAGAGAGCACGAGCACGTCCACGTCACAGCCTTCGCCGTGTGTGGTCCGAGTTGCTCTATTTCGTTGGCAGTTATTGTTTATCTCTTACTGTGCCTAATGTTAAACTTTACTGTGGGTGTGGATGTGCATATGGCAAAAACCACAATGTATATGGGGTTTGGCACTAGCTGCCGTGTAAGGCCTCCGCTGGGGGTTGTGGAGTGTGTCCCCTCAGGTCGGCGGGAGTCTGGAAGCTCCACCACAGGGCAAACCCGGGAGCAGTGGCTGCACGCCTGGATTCCCAGGTCCCATGGAGCCCCAGAAACCACCCTCTCTTCGTCCTTTTCTTGCGATTTGTTCTTTCTGCACATCCTCTGCTTCGGGTTGAGCCCCTGGCTTATTTCATTTTCTGTGCGGGGCTCCCCACAGATGCGTGTCGTCAGTGGCTGCCCTGCTGGTAGACCATCCCTCTGGGTGCCCGCTGCTGGTTCCTGGGTAGCTACAGCCTCTGTCCATGCGCGGACCTTACCCTGAGGTCCTGTGTCAGGGCTTCCCTCTGGGTCGCTATGAAGCAGCCTCACCTCCTAGGAACTGGAGGCCTCCCCAACCTCACCACTTGTCCCTGAGACCCGACTGGCCCTCCTCTCCGTGGGCCAGTGGTCAGATGGTGTTAGGGACACAGCTGCCCTTTGCAAAGGGGAACAGATGTGCCTCTGGAGACCTGGGCAGAGACTGGACTCGTGCAGCTGGGGCAGGACATACCCCGTGCTTCTGGGGTGCTGACCCTCCTGGGCCATCAGAGGTGGCCCTCTGTCAGCAGAAGCAGACTTCCGGCCGTCTCCCTGTCTTCCCTGTCTCCAACTCTGTTACCACAACTGGGTTTTGTCAGTGGCAGAACAGAAGCAAGCACTCTCCAGGAGGGGCACTGAGCACACGTTTGGTTTCTTGTGAGGAGAGCAGGGGGCTCTGCGGACCCCAGGCAGGGCAGCCTCTTGAGGGGCCCACAGCTCCGTGGTGCACTTGTCACCATTCTCCAAACAGTGCCGCACGGCCGGCGGAAGCGGGGCACATACCAGTCCCCAGAAACCCGCTTGACTTCCTCTGTGGGACGCGGTCAGCCGAGTGGCTGGTGCTGCGGAGCATCTGGCGGTGTCACTTAGCACGGGGACTGGAGGCCACCATGGGTGGCCTGGAAGGGTGGCTGGGGGCGGCGGGTTCCTGCAAGGTCACTGGAATCTGGAGTGATGCTGGTTACGGGGATGTGCACCAGAGCCTCACGGTGATGGCACTGCCACTGAGTTCAGCTCTCTCCTGTGTGTCCCTCCTGCTGAATTTCCCCCAGATTTCTAAAACGAGTATGATTCAGTGGAAAAGCAATTTCCACTTAAGTTGAACAGAGAAAGAAACATGCGTGCGTGGCAGAAGCCTGTGCCGTGCGGCGAGGCCGTGGTTCTCTGCGGACCACTGTGTGTTTGTTAGTAGCAAGTTGGAGTTGCAGTTAGCTTTTCATCACCTGTTGGTGTCTGCACATCCATGTCACCATTCCCCGTCCCCCATGTGGCCCTCCCCTGCCACCCTTTCTCCGTGGTCACCACAATTAGTGTCACTAGGACTGCATGTGTTTCAGTCACAGCCGAGCTGTGGACTGTGCTATGACTTTAGTTTTTCAGTTTTAAAAAATATTACAAACACATTAAAAAACAAGACAAGAGAGCCAGTGTGAAGAGAGCAGGCAGTCAACAGCGTTCACAGAACTTGAAAGGCAGACAGATGGACCAGGGCTACTCGGGCCCGTTCCCGTGAGGGCTGCGTCTGGGGCAGGAGTGGCTGGCAGGTCTTCCTGGGGGTGGCGGGGGGCTGGGTGAGGAGCAGTTGGGCGGCCTAGCCCGCTTCTGCTGTGGGCAGCACGGCCCATGGTGTGCTCTGCAGGGCTGGCAGGGATCCTGGCATGGCCTGTGTGATTCGAGGGTGGAAATCATGATGGGGAAAGGATGTGGCCCTGCTGGAGGGATCCCCTGTCCGCAGGGTCCCAGTGACCAGAGATGCTGCCATGCGGGGACCGGGCAGAATTTCCATGCTGCTCCATGCTCGGGATCTAGCCAGGGGATTCCATTCAGCAACGAGGCTTGTAGATCATTGCGTTTTGTGTGCTGTGATTTCCAAGTTACGCTTACGTTGTTTCGTAGAATGTGGCCCTCTCTAGTGATAAGCTGTCATTTAAATATATTCTAAGGATACTTTGTAGGGGAAATACCTGTTATAAAATTCGCTCAGCCTTTTTTTTTTCCAGTGGATTAAGTTTGCTAGCATGCGTCTTTAGGAGAAGTTTGCCATAATGTGTAGAGACTTAAGCTGATTTTGCCTCTGTATTTGACGAAAGAGGAGGATATTTCTTCATTATCTTTCATGGGAAGATATCTGTTCCTCTGTGTCCCCGTCTTCCTTTTAGTTCTGTCAGGTTCAGCTAACAGGAAAACTGTTGTGAGAGAAGAAACTGAGTTTGGAGACGCAGCTTGCAGGCGGGGCCTTTCTCCCGGGCCGCCCCCCGCACCGCCGGGACACGGCTGTGTGTGTCCTTCGCTGGAAGGCCCAGTCGTCACTTCCTTTCACAGCACTATTTTTAGCTGTGATGTATTTATGGCTGTGCGGACAAGTGGACTTTTCTCATGAAAGGAAATGCTTTTCCCAGGGATAAGCCAGTGGCGTGGGGCAGGATTTCCTGAGGAATCCACAGCGAGGCCCTGGGTTCCTGCCACCCAGCTTGGCGCCCACCCTGTGTCCCCAGGAGGCCCTGGCCTGCTCTGCGTCTGCAGGTGAAGGCGCCCGCGCTGCTTGTTTTATGTTTAAATGACTTGTACTTGAAAGTTTTAAGGAAGTCTTTGGAAGGAAATGAGTTGATGTGCTGGTGTGTGTCACCATCAGTGGTCACTGTTTCCTGGAGTGTGGGGTGTGGTCTAGCGTGCTGGTGTGTGTGGACATGATGCTCACTGTTTCCTGGAGTGTGGGGTGTGGTCCAGCGTGCTGGTGTGTGTAGACATGATGCTCACCATTTCCTGGAGTGTGGGGGTGTGGTCTAGCGTGCTGGTGTGTGTGGACATGGTGCTCGCTGTTTCCTGGAGTGTGGGGTGTGGTCCTGCATGCTGGTGTGTGTGGACATGGTACTCACTGTTTCCTGGAGTGTGGGGTGTGGTCCAGCGTGCTGGTGTGTGTGGACATGATGCTCACCGTTTCCTGGAGTGTGGGGTGTGGTCCAGCGTGCTGGTGTGTGTGGCCATGATGCTCACCATTTCCTGGAGTGTGGGGTGTGGTCCAGCGTGCTGGTGTGGGTGGCCATGATGCTCACTGTTTCCTGGAGTGTGGGGGTGTGGTCCAGCGTGCTGGTGTGTGTGGACATGATGCTCACTGTTTCCTGGAGTGTGGGGTGTGGTCCAGCGTGCTAGTGTGTGTGGTCATGGTGCTCACTGTTTCCTGGAGTGTGGGGGTGTGGTCCAGGGTGCTGGTGTGTGTGGCCATGATGCTCACTGTTTCCTGGAGTGTGGGGTGTGGTCTGGGGTGCGGGGGCTGCCGCCTCAGGCCGCCTGGCTTTTGTGGATTGAAATCCAAGTCTGTGCCATGTGCAGGCTTCCTGCCCAATCTCTGAGGCCGACTAGTCCTTCTGGCTAAGCATCACTGTGCCAGCCTGCTGAGGGAACGGTGGGGTCTTGGCAGAGGTGGCACCCACGCCCTGCAGGGCCACGTGCGCACACAGGCTCCAGGACAGCTGTGGGAGTGGCTTCTTGCTGGGCTTGCTGTGCGGGTCCTTGAGGCAAAGGGAAGGTGGAGGTTGTGGAAGGTCCTGGATGGGTCAGAATGTGGGCGCCTGGTCCCTAACACTGAGGGTCCCTTTGCAGGGCCTCTGGCTGGGGCCATGCTCAGAGCCAAGGCACTCACCCCTCATATCCTTCCTCAGACCCACCGTGAGGTAAGCAGCGGCTGGCCCCTTTGGCCACAGCCTCCACTGCTTCCAGCATTTTCTTCTTGTTGGGACAGAGTCCCATTTGGGAAGCCTCCTGCCAGTAGAGGCTTTTCACGGGTGTCCACGGCTCAGCTCGCGGGTCGTGTGGGTCTCGGCACCCAGTGTCCTGCCTGTAGCGGTGTCTCGCTGTGTCCATGGCTCAGCTTGCGGGTCCTGTGCGTCTCAGCACCCAGTGTGCCCCCTGCCAGCCAGAGCCCAGCCGGTGAGTGGGAGAGGGATGGCCGCACTGCCCTGTCTTCCCAAACGGTGTTGATTCACGGCCTTCAGAGGGCGGACCAGAGGTGGCTTCTGATTCGAGGGGACACTCCTGGCTCTCCACTCATGCCCTGTGCAGACCAGTGGTGCGGACGGGGGAGTGTTGTGGGTCTGGGGGTGATGCAGGTCACTGCATGCCAGGGAGCCCACAGCCTCCACCCAGGACCACGCCTGGTGCCAGCACAGGGAGGTTTCACAGAGCAGGCGGAGCGGGGCGTGGTGGGAGGGCGCCGATGTGGAATGCCACGCCAGGCCTTGGAGCCCCTCGCCGGGACCCACGGCTCCTGTGTGGCTGGTTTCACATTATCAGCATCGCTGGAAAAGGACGGGGTCTTAGAAGTGGAGGCTCGAAGGTGGCTGGGACTTACAGTACCTGGGCTTTGCAGAAGTTGGCTGGAAATAATTGGTCAAGGTTTGCTGCCAGCGAGGGACACAGGGGTGGGGCCTACTCCAGTGAGCAGATGCCATCCTGCTGGGGGAGTCAACAGTGTAGCCTCCATCCCCATGGTGACGCCGTCCTGTGTGGGGAGACGCCACGAGGACTGGAGCGCAGCTGGTGTCGAGCAGCTGACTGCTGGCAGGACGGCGGGAAGGCAGGCTGGCTGTGTCCAGCTCCTCCTGGGGTGCGGACAAGTGTGAGGAGACACTGTTGGAACGCAGCGGGGGACATTGTGACACTTGTGGAGATGCTGGTGGGGCCTGCGTTCGTGGACGTCCTGACCCCCATGCCACTCACACACTGGTCCTCGGTGCAGTGATCTCAAGCATAGCGTCTAGCATCACCTCAATCTGTTGTATTTAGACATCCTTGATGGCATTGAGTCCCTTCTTCCTGGATGTGTACAGGGGTCATGGGCTGTATTTGGAGGTCGTTAAGGTTCGAGTCTTTTCATCTCGACCCCTGCTTTGGCCTTTCTGACCTTGCCATCTGAAACCATCTAGCCCACTCGTCTGGAGGGCAGCCTGCGTGTGGGTCACTGTGGCAGCCTGCATGTGGGTCACTGTGGCAGCCCGTGTGTGGGACACTGTGGCTGAAGCCATCTAGCCGACTCGTCTGGAGGGCAGCCTGCGTGTAGGTCACTGTGGCAGCCCGTGTGTGGGTCACTGTGGCAGCCCGTGTGTGGGACACTGTGGCTGAAGC